CACACACACACACACACACACACACACACACACACGTGTGCGCCCCCAAAAATCCTAGTGAGGTAATTCAGACCCAGAAAGACAGATACAGTTAGCCAGGCACTGGTAGCATATGACTTTAATCCCAGCACTCCGGAGGCAGAGGTGGGCAGATCTCTGTAAAAGACCAGCATGGTCTACAGAGCCAGTGCCAGGAGGCTCCAAAGCTACACAGAGAAGCCCTGTCTTGAAAAAAACAAAAACAAAAACAAAACAAAAAAACAAACAAACAAAGGAAAGAACAAAAAACAAACAGATACAGTATTACTCTTAAGTGGATACCAGATACAAAGCAAAAGATACCCAGCCTACAATTCACAACCCCAGAGAAGCTAGAACCCTCTTCCAGAAACAGATGGAAGCAGAGGCAGAAATCCACAACTAACCATTGGGCCAAGCTACTGAAGTCGATCAAGGAACAAAGGAGTCAAGACCATGACGGGAAACCCACAGAATCAGCTGACCCAAGCCAGTGAGGGATCACTGACTCAGGTCTGACAAATGGAGAACCTGCATAAGATGGAGCTAGAGTCTCTGAATACAGGTGACATTGTTACAGCTGGGGCAATTTATGAGGCCATTGGCAGTGAGTCCAAGATCTAACTCTAATGCACAAACTGACTTAGTGGAACCCATTCTATATGGACAGATACCTTGCTCAGCCTAGGCACAAGGGATGGTCCTCCCTCAAGGAGATGATGGGACAGACTTTGTAGACTTCCTAGGCGGGTCCTTACCCTCTCCAACAAGCAGATGGGAGGTGCCGGTATGAACGGGAGGAGAGGAGGGAGGGAGAACTGGGATTGGAATGTAATAGGTAAATAAATAAATAAATAAATAAATAAATAGAAAAGGCTAGGCCTCTAATACCAACACTGCTGAGGCAGAGGCAGGAGAACTCAGCACTTGAGTTTGAGGCCAGTGTGGTCTACATATCAAGTTCCAGGGCTACATAGTGCACTCTGTCACAAAGAACTGGCTGTTTCAGCCTTTTATGGAACCCCATGCTAGTACATCATAGGGAGGCAAAGCAGGGCATCGCCTAGCCACCTGTGAAAGGTGGGTAAAGGACCTGCTCATCTAGCCAAAAAGGAGGTTGGGCCAGGGTGTTGTGCCAGTCACAGCCCTCCGTGCGAATGAAGGGTTGTATTTGCTCCAGTAGGGTCTTCTGTGCCTGCACTGCTTGGTGTGGGAATTGCTGCTGTAGTTTGGCTTCCCAGGCCTGCTGGTGCTCAGAGAGCACATCTTCCTGCTTCAGATTTTGAGGCTGGGGACTGGGGGTGTCTGCTGGGACCATGCAGCAGCCAGTGAAACCTGCTTGCCTTCTGGTTTTGTGTTGGAATGGCTCATGTTAGCTCACCCTTGTTAGTTTAAAAGTTTTTTAATTTATGTCTGTGTTCATGTGTGGACCTGAGCTGGCTGGCTCCATCCAGTGTTGAGATTGTAGGACCAGACCACTCGCTACACCTGCCTTTTTTTTTTTTAAATAAAAGATTTTAAGAATGTAAGATAGTCTTTATTAAAAACCAAAGGACTACTCATGGTGATGCACACTTGTAATTTCAGAACTTGGAAGGTGGAGGCAGATGGATCTCTGAGTTTGAGGCCAGCCTGGTCTACATAATGAGTTTCAATCCAGCCAAGGCTACATAGCAAAACCTTGCCCACTCCTAAAAGCCAAGGGACCCCTGAGGAAACCACACAGGAGTCTTCTCAGGGTTAGGTGCATTTGACACCAGTGGGGTCAGTCCCAAAGCCATGCAGTCACAGCAACAGATAAATGGAAAAGCAAAATGTGGTGCATTCAGGCCTTTAACCCCAAAAGAGGATCTGTAAGTTTGAGGCCAATCAGGGTTCCATAATGAGCCTCTGCCTCCAAACAGACTGGGAGAGCTGGGTAAGGGATTCCCAGCACTCAAGAGGCAGAGGCAGGCAGGTCTCTGTGAGTTCGAGACCAGCCTGGTCTACAGAGTGAGTTCCAGGACAGCCTCCAAAGCCACAGAGAAACCATGTCTTGAAAAAAAACAAAACAAAAAAGTGTGCTAACTGTTCTTTCAGGGGACTCAGGCTCAGGTCCCAGAACCACGTGGCCCTCACAGCCAGGGGATCCGATATTTCTAAGATTTAAATATATATTTATCTATTCATATTTAAATATAAATATATATAGTTTTTTGAGACAGGGCTTTCTGTGTGATCGTGGCTGCCCTGGAACTCACTTTGTAGACTAAGCTGGATGGGGCTAGGGAGATGGCTCAGCAGTTAAGAGCATTGGCTGCTCTTCTAGAGGTCCTGAGTTCAATTCCCAGCAAGTGCATGGTGGCTCACAAGCATCCATAAAGAGATCTGGTCCCTCTTCTGGTGTGCAGGCTGACAAGCAGGCAGAACAGTGTATACACAATAATTAAAAAAAAAAAAAAAACCGGCAGAAATACCTTCCATGTTTTATAACCTACACGACAGCCCTGTCCCCTGGATTGCCTGTTGGTAAGTTCTTCAGGGAGGTACAATCTTGTGCTGTCTAGCATAGTCTCCACTCCACATTTTCCATCCTCCGTCGCAAAATCACGTAGCCAAGTAAGTTCAACCCAAGATGAACGAGTGTTGCTGTTAGCTAGGGAAGACAGGGGCCTAGCCTCTTGATTGTGACTCGCTGGCGAGCTCCATTTTCATGCAGTGGACCATGATTTATTACAGAATGGAAAGGTCAGAGCTCGGGAGGCAGGCGGCCAGGGTCGGGGGGAGAAAGCGGAGGCCGGGGCCGGCTGGGGAGCCCAGAGAGGGGTACGGGGAGGCGTGGCGAGCCAGCGGAACGCAGCGGCCCGGGAGCGTTGCGCGGGGGTCGGAAGCTTCAGAGTGGCCCTTCCGGTCCTGTCAACCAATGCTTCACAGGCGTGATCGGATGCCCCGGGCCCGTCTGAGCTAGAGAAATTCTGCCTCAAAAAACCAAAGGCCAAAGAACAAAATTACAATTTAAAAAAGATGCTCTCTTGGGACGGTAACGATCTACCACGGACCAACACGGACCGTCGCGGCACAGCGTCACGGCTGGAAACAAAACTCTACTTCCGTCCCAAGCCTCGCAGGACGGACCTCGAAGGGGAGGGACCATCGCCCAAAGGAAAGGCCCCTCGCAGGCACTTCCGCCCTCTCCTAAGATGGCGCAGGCGGAAGGGGCCGGTCACCGCCCGCTGGCGACGTCGCGACTGGAGTTGAACCTGGTGCGGTTGTTGTGTCGCTGCGAATCGATGGCGGCAGAAAAGCGGGAACCGAACGAGTGGCGTCTGGAGAAGGTGAGGGATTCCCACGCCGCCGC